TAAATCTGTAATAATACCTGGGAGGATTGAAAGAGCTTTAAAAATCCCTGATGCCTAGAAAGCACTCACTGAATGGGCTACTTCCCATTTCATGCCCCTGATCGGATGCTGGCCCGGGTCTGCTTCCATCTCCTAGTGGTTTCCTACCGCACAGCATCCACTCTCTGGTTTGCACTTTCTCTTAAGAGACCTCTCTCGAAGAAACCAGCACCAGGACCTTCTGGACACAGGGTCAGTGGTTGAGCCAGTTAGGACTCCCTAGGTTTCGAGTCACAGAAACTCAGTTAAACTGCCTCAAGGCAACTGAAGGGTCTCATGGAATCTAAGGAAAAGTGGAACAGCAAATCGCTGAGAAGAGCAGACTCAGGATCTGAGCTCTTCGCGGAGCCCTGGAATGTCCTCCCTCTCCTTCCCCATCTCCCTCTCCCCCTCCCCAATCCTGATTTCTCCCTCCCCTCCCTGCAGGTCATCTCCAAGACACATGCCCCCACTCACTCCCTCCAGCCCCTGACCCCCCCATTCTTAGAGCATGCCACGCACACTCCCACCTCAGGGCCTTTGCACTTGCTGTGCCCTCTGTCTGGGACGTTCTTCCCTAATCTCCCCCACTACCTCCCTCCTTCGAGCCATGGCTCAGGTGTCACAGGCTCAGTGGTGCCTTCCTAGACCAACTGATTGAAAATTGCAACCCAGCCCCAGTGCCCGCATGCTCCAGCCCCTCCCCTGCTTGCTTGCTTTTCTCCTTTAACCTTGGTTCACAAAAAATTGGGTTAATTATAATCCTTGCTTCATAACCCACTCTCATCAGCTTTTAATGATTAATTTTCGTAATGTAATAAACACCTGTGAAACCACTGCCCAAAACAAAAACTAGAATCTTGACAATGACCTCCCTCTAACTATATGGTCCACCCACCGCAGCGTCACATCCCCCACCATGATCCCCCTCCTGAATCCCGTATTTAATCTTCCCGTGTTTCCTTCTTAGAGTTGATTATTGCATATGTGTGTACAATTTTAGTTGCTTTTAACTCTGTATTAAGGGTGTCATGTTTCGTCATGGGACGTTTTTCACTGGCTATTATATTTTAGAGATCCGTCCGTATTGTGGGGTGTGGCTCTAGCACCTTCGTTTTGACTGCCATGTAATATTTCATCATGGGAATTTCTTCATCTGCTCTCCCATGGATGGGCATGTGGGTGTTTCCTAATTTTGGCCACTGTGAACAGAGCCCTGTGAATACCCTTCCACACGATTCCTGTGGTCGGCGGGCAAGAATTTCTGCAGGGAACATATTTTGCAGTAGAATTGCTGGGTCATAGGCCGTGCACATGCTCAGCTTTAGGAGATAAAGCCAGGCCGTTTCCAGCCGGGCTGCCCCAATTCACATCCCACCAGCAGTGTTGCGAGGGCTCTATTTTTCTCTATAGCATGCACACTATGACTGACTATGTATTTTACTTATGCACCTGTTTACTATCTTCCTCCACCCCTCCCCCGAATGTCAGTACCAGGAGGGCAGGGACTTCTGTCTCTCTTGCCCATTATTGTATCCCCAGTCCCTAGAACAGTGTCTGGCACACAGTAGGTGCTTAATAAACATTTTCTGATTGAATGAACAAGTGGACAGCCCACACGAGACCTGAGAGCTCATAGGATGTACTATCGGCCCAATGACTTGGAGATGGGCTCTCATTCAACCCTCTCCCAGTTTCTATCCCCCAATCCAGGGAAAGCACCATTGGCTAAAAGCTACTGATACCTGGGCCCTCAGGCCAACTAAGTCAGAGTTTCGGAGGGTGGGGCTTCCTCTTGGTAACTCCCCATGGCTCTTAGCATGAAAAACTCAAACCCGCGCTGGGCTTACAAGGCCCTGCATGGTGGCCCTGCCCACTTTGTCTTGCCCCAAGCTCACCCCTGCTCCATTCTCAGTGGCCACTCCAGCCTCCTCTTTGTTGCTGTAACACACTAAGCTCTTTCTCCCTTCTGGGCCTTGGCACACCTCTGTTCCCTCTGTTCCTCCTCCCACCCTGCTTAGCTGTATTAAGATTATGGATCCTTCATGGAGTAGCTGAAATGTCACCTCCTCTGAGAAGTCCTCTCTGGCTCCTGAGACCTGGTGGGACCCCTGTTAAAGACCCTCATGGTATCCTGAACTTCTCCTTCATGGCTCTTGCAAAATTGTGTAATCACACTCTGTGTGATTCTTTGATTCATGTCTCACCCTCTCACTAGACTCTGAGACACAGGAGAGCAGGAACTATGCTGTTTTGGTTATCTCTATGTCTCAGCACATAGTCCAGTGTCTGGCACATAGATGGGGGCTGGTATTTTTTGGATGGATGGATGGACAGATAGATGAGTGGATAGATGGATGGAGGGATGGGTGAGTAGGGGGAAGGAAGGGAGGGAAGGAGAGAAGGAAAGAAGCAAGGGAAGAAGAGAAGAGGGAAGGAAAGGAGGGAGGGAGGAAAGATCATTTGCATGGATGAATGTATAGATGAATGGGTGAATAGATGCATGCATGCATGGATGGATGGATGGATGGATGGATGGATGGACGGATGAATGGATGGATGGATGGATGGATGGA